ACCTCCCGGGTTCAAGTGATTCTCCTGCCTCAGCCTCCAGAGTGGCTGGGATTATAGGTATGCACTTCTGCACCTGGCTAATTTTTAGTATTTTTAGTAGAGACAGAATTTCACCATGTTGGCCAGGCTGGTCTTGAACTCCTGACCTCAGGTAATCTGCCCACCTTGGCCTCCCAAACTGTTAGGATTACAGTTGTGAGCCACTGCACCCGGCCTGTTTCCACTTTTGGCATTATCCTCCTGGTAGTCAAAATAGTAGTCTCCCAGCCTGAGCGTGGTGGCTCATACCTGTAATCCCAGCACTTTGGGAGGCTGAGGTGGGTGGATCACCTGAGGTTGGGAGTTTGAGACCAGCGTGACCAACATGGAGAAACCCTGTCTCTACTAAAAATACAAAAAAATTAGCTGGGCGTGGTGGCGCATGCCTGTAATCTCAGCCACTCAGGAGGCTGAGGCAGGAGAATCACTTGAACCTGGGAGGTGGAGGTTGCAGTGAGCCGAGATTGTGCTATTTGACTGCAGCCTGGGCAACAAGAGTGAAACTCTGTCTAAAAAAAAAAAAAAAAAAAAAAAAATTGTAGTATCCCTACTGCACTGTATTCTCTGAAAAATTATAAATGTTTACATGCAGTCATCTCTAGAATGTCAAATTGTCTGTCGTTGACTGGACTGACAGAAGTCAAAGATATACATGACTATGAAGACACCATAACCTGTGAATAACATTCTAAGGACAAAAACCCTAAATAATGGAAATTGAGAGTGGCACTAAGGCCCTGAGTTTTGGTCACACTCTGACCTACGTAAGAAATTTATCAAAAAGGAAGGGTTTTAAAAAACAAAGTTGGCAGGGTGCGGTGGCTCACCCCTGTAATCCCAGCACTTTGGGATGCCGAGGTGGGCAGATCACGAGGTCAGGAGATGGAGACCATCATGGCCAATAGGGTGAAAACCCATCTCTACTAAAAATACAAAAATTATCTGGGTGTGGTGGCGCGTGCCTGTAATCCCAGTTACTCAGGGGGCTGAGGCACAAGAATCGCTTGAACCCAGGAGGCGGTGGTTGCAGTGAGCTGAGATTGCGCTACTCCACTCCAGCCTGGCAACAGAGTGAGACTCCTCAAAAAAACAAAACAAAAGTTATTGGAGGCCATCATTCTAAACTGAGCTTGTATACTAGTTCCAAACAGACCAACCAAACCAAAATGAGTCACCTGTGCTAACTGTGACATAATCAAACTGAAAATTTAAGAAAATAGGTAGATCCTAAAACAGGCCAGGTTTATATTTTTCTTCCGGAAACAGCAGATTTCAACACAAGGAAGCCCCTTCGAACCCTTTAAAAAATAAATAATAGGCCAGACACGGTGGCTCACACCTATAATACTAGCACTTTGGGAGGCTGAGGTGGGCGGATCACCTGAGGTCAGGAGTTCGAGACCAGTCTGGCCAACATGGTGAAACTCCGTCTCTACTAAAAATACAAAAATTAGCTGAGCGTGGTGGCAGGCTCCTGTAATCACAGCTACTTGGGAGACTGAGGCAGGAGAATCATTTGAACCCGGGAGGTGGAGGTTGCAGTGAGTTGAGATTGCGCCATTGCACTCCAACCTAGGTGACAGAGTGAAACTTCATCTCAATAATAAATAAATAAATAAATAAATACACAAAGATAATAAAATAACCGGAAGCCCATGTTTCCACTTTCAAAAAAAAAAAAAGAACCACACACACACACACAGTTCTGCCATTTTACACTAGGATTTGACACTAAGTATTCTTTTTTTTTTTTTTTTTTTTTTTAGATGCAGTCTTGTTCTGTGGTCCAGGCTGGAGTGCAGTGGTGAGATTTCCATGCACTACAACATCTGCCTCCTGGCTTCAAGTGATTCTCCTGCCTCAGCCTCCGAAGTAGCTGGGATTACAGGCACCTGCCATCATGCCCGGCTAATTTTTGTATTTTTGTAGAGACAGGGTTTTACTATGTTGGCCAGGCTGGTCGTGAACTCCTGATCTAAGGTGATCTGTCCGTCTGGGCCTTGCAAAGTGCTGGGATTACAGGTGTGAGCCACCACACTTGGCCAATAAGTACATTTTTATGGCAACAGAGCAATATCAATATCTAAAGTTCTGATATATCTCTCAAAATTGAGATGACCAAAAGAGAAAAATTGTTAATTATATTCTAATGCTGCCACTTTCACGTTTAATTTTTTTCAATAGGTTTTTTTTAACACACTAAACTGAAATCTAACCTGATATATAAATAGACTGTACCCATTCTTGTACCAGCCACAATATTAGAATGTCAACTGTTCAAATCATGTTCAAATCAGGCAAATTCTAAGCTGTAATCAATCTGGCCCTTTCTGTACCTTCCTTGCATTTTCTGTATGTCGCTTTGCTTTTTCCACCATGTGGCTATGCTGCAGTATCTCTGAGCCTACTCTGGATCCATGGGGTATCTGATTTGCAAATCATTTTTTGCTCAGTTTAACTCTGTTAAATTTAATTTCTCTAAAGTTTTTGTTTTTCTTTTACACGTTTTGAAATTATTTCTATGATGAAAAATAAATAACGTTCTTGGACTTTGACTTTCTAAGCTCATCTCTCAGCTATTCTTTCTAATTATTCTATGTCTGTTCAAAATGCTCCTGCAATTTTTTGAGACAGTGTCTCACTCTTTTATCCTGGCTAGAGTGTGGTAGGTGGTGTAACCAATTATCGCTCATTGCAGCCTTAATTGTCTTGGTTCACACAGTCCTAGTTCAGCTGCAACTACAGGTATGCAACATCATGCCTGGCTAATTTTTTAAAATTGTTTTCATAGACACAGGATCTTACTATGTTGCCCAGGCAGTACTTGAACTCCTGAATCCAAGTGATTCTTTCAACTCAGCCTCCCAAAGTGCTAGGATTACAATTGTGAGGCACCTTGTGCTTCTGCAATTTCTTGACAAGATTATTCCCAATAATAAAAAGTACTACATGGGAACAAATCTAAAGAAAAAAAAAAAAAGGTCCAGCTTCTATTGTAAAAGTATAATTATCCCGTATTTCATGGGTCTGCAGAAGCCAATAGTTTGATCTATGGAGGAGCATAGATCAACAAATTCAGTTTATTCTGAGTTTCAGCCCAGCCACTTAGTAGGTGTGGATCTTTGGACAAGTTTCTTGATGTAAAAGAGTTGTATAAACCACATATGCAAAAAAGGCAGAATAATAGTGATTGCAAAAATTGTAGCAATTTTTCTTTTTTTCTTGTTTCTTTTTTTTTTTTTTTTTTTTTTGAGATGGAGTCTCATTCTGTCACCTAGGCTGGAGTGCAGTGGCGTGATCTTGGCTCACTGCAACCTCTGCCTCCCGGGTTGGAGCAATTCTCCTGTCTCAGCTTCCTGAGTAGCTGAGATTACAGGTGTGCACTACCATGTCCAGTAAATTTTTGTATTTTTTGTAGAGACGGGGTTTTGCCATTTTGGCCAGGCTGGTCTTGACCTCAGGTGATCCACCCACCTCGGCCTCCTGGAGTGCTGGGATTACAGTCGTGAGCCACGGTGCCTGGCCATAGCAATTTTTCATCCCTCCTATATCCATGCCCATTGCCAGGTGCTTTTACAGGTGCTCCCATTGAGATACAGAATCTGTTTTACAAAGCCTAAATCTGGCTGGCCTTGTTTGCTCAGGGCAGTAGAAACCTGTGAACTGACAGTGTGCTAGTTTGGGGAAGAGCTGAAATGGTCTTGAATACTACTTTTTTATTTTTAAAGTTTGGCCATTGCCGGGAACAGTGCCTCAGGCCTGTAATCCTAGTATTTTGGGAGGCTGAAGCCAGCTGATCACCTGAGGTCAGGAGTTCAAGACCCATGTTGCCAAGGTGGTGAAGCCCTGTCTCTAATAAAATATATAAAATTAGCTGGGCGTGGTGGCGGGTGCCTGTAATCTAAGCTACTCAGGAGGCTGAGGCAGGAGAATCACTTGAGCCTGGGAGGCGGAGGTTGCAGCGAGCCAAGACTGTTCAAATGCACTCCAGCCTGGGCAAGACAGACTCCGCATCAAAAAAGAGAAAAAAAAGAAAAAAAAAATTAAAATTCACATGTGGCTCACATTTTATTTCAGAGGACTGCCTTTTTGTAAAAAAACTTAGGCTGCCTCCTTAAAGAACTGAAGCCAGGAGAGTCATTGTCATGTGCGTCCGTGTGAAGAGACCAGCAAACAGGCTTTGTGTGAGCAACATGGCTGTTTATTTCACCTGGGTGCAGGCGGGCTGAGTCCGAAAAGAGAGTCAGCTAAAGGAGATTAAGGGTGGGGCCGTTTTATAGGGTTTGGGTAGGTAAAGGAAAATTACAGTCAAAGGGGGGTTGTTCTCTGGCAGGCAGGAGTGGGGTCACAAGATGCTCAGTGGGGGAGCTTTTTGAGCCAGGATAAGCCAGGAAAATGAATTTCACAAGATAATATCATCGCTTAAGGCAAGGACCGACCATTTTCACTTCTTTTGTGGGAGAATGTCATCAGTTAAGGCGAGGCAGGGTATTTGCACTTCTTTTGTGATTCCTCAGTTACTTCAGGCCATCTGGGCGTATAGTGCAAGTCACAGGGGATGCGATGGCTTGGCTTGGGCTCAGAGGCCTGACAGTCATAAAAGCCGAAATTTAAATATAATTGTTATTCTATTCTTTTCCTTTGTGAATAGCCATATAGTAAGTACATTATTTATAAATGTATATGACCTTATACACAAAGCTAATGGCAAATCCCCTCTAGGGTGGGCCTGGCTCATCTCATGGAGGAAGCCCTGCCTGAAAAGGGTGCAGACTGGGCTGTCACTCTTTCTTCATTGAACTGCTCATCTGAGCACGTCTTCCGTGACTCCGGGACTGAATGGGCGGGGCCTTAAACGACATCCAATCAGGGATGCTTGGCTAAGAATCGTCCAATCAGACCCCAGCTGAAGCGGACCGCTCGGCTTCCGGGATTTGGCGCGGCCTTTGTGTTTCGCAGCAGCTGGAGCTCCTGGTCTTCGTGGCTTCCTGACGTACAGGTATTGGGAGATCCACAGCTAAGACGCCAGGACTCCCTGGAAGCCTAGAAATGGTGAGAGCGCCGGGTCCCACATCCCGAGAGAGGGGAAGGGCTGGTTGGAAGTGGCTGTGGCGGGACTCAGGCCTCCCCGCAGTCAGCCCCTCTGCGCCCCGATTTCTCCTAGCCTCGCTCTGTCTCAGTCCCCTTCAGCCATAAGATGGCGGCTGCGCTGACAGCCGGGCTCCCCGGCCGTCCTGTCTCTTCCCTGCGCAGTGACTGTGCCCTGGCCTGGAGCCCTCCCTGGGCATCTCTGCATCGCAGCGCCGCGTCTCTCCCAGATTGTGCAGGGACCACGGGAGTTCCTAAGTCCCCCTTTCTTCTTTTAAAAATTTATGGGAGTCACCGCAAAAATATTAAAGAATTTAATTAGAGTTGTTCAAAAATTATAGAGCACCCCTATGGGTTGTAGTTTGTGGTCCATTAGAGGGGCTTGAACAAAAGACTTTTATAAGGTGCATCATGAAAAAACCCAAATTCAGTAATCAGGCACAGTGACATAGTTTCCTAATTTCCACCTTGAGCGTACAAATTTCCTGGTTTGTAATCAGAGCTTAATTGGCTGTTTATATTTGGTTAAGACTGAATTTCGTTTCCTTTAATGTAGTAATTAAAAAATAAATAAATGCATTTGAGTTAGTTTTTTTTTTTTTAAGTAGGACTCCAGAGAGTAGATTTCCACGTCAGCCTGATTCCATGTCACTTGACTATTTTCTTTTTGAGACAGAGTTTCACTCTTTTGCCCAGACTGGAGTGCAGTGGCGCACGATTTCGGCTCACTGCAACCCCCGCCTTCCTGATTCAAACTATTCTTCTGCTTCAGCCTCCCGAGTTGCTGGGATTACAGGCTCCCGCCATCATGCCCGACTAATTTTTGTATTTTTAATAGAGATGGGGTTTCACCATGCTGGCTAGGGTGGTCTCGAACTCCTGACCTCGTGATCCGCCCGCCTTGGCTTCCCAAAGTGCTGGGATTACAGGCGTAAGCCTCCTGTCACTTAACTGTTTTCACACTCCACAGAGGACCGATTATGCCCTGCATAGTTTTTCTTTTCCTTTTTTTTTTTTGAGATGGAGTTTCATTATTGTTGCCCAGGCTGAAGTGCAGTTGTGTGATCTCTGCATACTGCAACCTCCGTCTCCCGGGTTGAAGCGATTCCCTTGCTTCAGCCTCCCGAATAGCTGGGATTACAGGTGCCCGCCACCACGCCCAGCTAATTTTTTTGTATTTTTAGTAGAGAGGGAAGTTCACTGTGTTGGCCAGGATGGTTTCGAACTCCTGACCTCGCGATCCACCTGCCTCGGCCTCCCAAAAGTGCTGGGAATACAGGCGTGAGCCTCTGCGTCTGGCTATGCCCTGCATTTTTTATATGTTTTTTCAAGCAGGGTCTCAAATGTACCGCCAGTCCTTTTCTCCAGCTTAACTGTGGCTTAAAGTAAAATACCAAATTTCCAGCTCCTTCTGACAAGTCCAAATGCTAACTTTTCCTCCCCAATTCAGATTATTAACTTATTTTATTTTAAGTTAAATAAACTGTACACAGGCTGTCGCACTGCTTATTGTTCTGTGATTCCAGATCTCCTCTTAGGGTGAGAGAGGACTGAAAACTGGGAGAATAGGAACTCTGGCTGGGTGCAGTGGCTCACACCTGTAATCTCAGCACTTTGGGAGGCTGAGGCGGGCAGATCATGAGGTCAGGAGAGGAGACCATGGTGAAACCCCGTCTCTACTAAAAATACCAAAAATTAGCTGGGCGCGGTGGCAGGTGCCTGTAGTTCCAGCTACTCGGGAGGCTGAGGCAGGAGAATGGCGTGAACCCGGGAGGCGGAGCTTGCAGTGAGCTGAAATCGAGCCACTGCTCTCCAGCCTGGCCAACAGAGCGAGACTCCATCTCAAAAAAAAAAAAAAAGAGAATAGGAGCTCTGATGATCCCATTTTTCCACAGCTGCCACCACAGGATTCCCACCCACTCACAATCATGCCCGCTAGACACTGCACACCACTCCCAGGACTAGGCACCACCCTCAAAAACTTAACCATGGCATTTTTGATCCTAGTGTTTTTTGCCAAAATCCCATAAAATTCTCTACAAATCTTTTGGCATATCCCTACCCCCAGACGCTGAATCTGTAGCAGCAACCTGTTTTCTCCACCAACTTGGGGTTCCGGGCCACCTGTTCATAATCTCACCTGCTGTGTGGACCCAGAAATAAGTAGCACAAGCCAGACCTGCCTACATTGCACTCTTCCCCACCCACTGAGTTTCTTTCTTTTAACTGTCATTTTTGTTTTAGGGGTATACGTGCAGGTTTACTGTATAGGTAAAGTTAAAGTTGTGTCATGGAACTTCGATGCACATTATTTTGTCACAGAGGTACTAAGCGTAACACCAAACTTTTTTTTTTTTAATCTTTGCTCTCTCACCCTCCACCCTCAAGTAAGTTTTGGTGTCTGTTGTTTTCCTGTTTGTGTCCATGTGTTCTTATTATTTAGCTCTTACTTAGAAATGAGAACATTCAGCTGGGCACAGTGGCTCACGCTTGTAATCCCAGCACTTTGGAAGGCTGAGTCGAGTGGATCACGAGGTCAGGAGTTTGAGACCAGCCTGACCAGCATGGTGAAACCCCATCTCTACTAAAAATACAAAAATTAGCCGGGCGTGGTGGCGCACGCCTGTAATCCCAACTCAGGAGGCTGAGGCAGGAGAATCACTTGAACCCGGGAGGCGGAGGTTGTGATAAGCCGAAATCAAGCCACTGCACTCCAGCCCAGGCGACAGAGCTAGACTCTGTCTCAAGGAAAAAAAAAAAAAGAGAAAAAGAACATGCGTTTGCTTTTCTCTTTCAGCATTAGTTTTCTCAGGATAATGGACTACAGTTCCATCCATGTTGCTGCAAAAAACATCTTGTTCTTTTTTATGGCCATACAGTATTCCATGATATTTATATGCAATATTTTTCTTTTTATATAAATATTCTATTTTATTTTCTTATTATTTCAGATGGTGTTTCGCTCTTGTTGCCCAGGCTGGAGTCAATGGTGCGATCTCTGCTCACTGCAACCTCTGCCTCCTGGGTTGAAGTGATTCTCTTGCCTCAGCCTCCTGAGTAGCTGGCCTTACAGGCATGCACCACTATGCCCAGCTAATTTTGTACTTTTAATAGAGATGGGGTTTCTCCCTGTGGGCCAGGCTGGTCTCAAATTCCTGACCTTAGGTTGTCTGCCCTCCTTGGCCTCCCAAAGTGCTGGGATTACAGGCATGGGCCACCGCGCCCGGCCTTCTCATTTTATTTTAAGGGGAGGCAGGGTCTTACTCTGTCAGGTAGGCTGGAGGGTAGTGGCGCGATCTTGGCTGACTTCAGCCTCAACATCCTGGGTCCAAGCAATCCTCATACCTCAGCCCCTTATGTAGCTGGGACTACAGGTGCACACCACCACACCCAGCTGATTTTCCTTTAGTATACTTTGTAGAAATGGGATTTCTCCATGTTTCCTTGGCTGTTCACAAACTCTTGAACTCAGGCAGTCTTGAGCCTCTTAAATTGCTTGGCCTCTTAAATTGCTGCGATTACAGGCATGAGCCACTGCCCTTCTCTGTATTATATTTTCTTTTTTTTTTTTTTTTTTTTTTTTTTTTTGAGACGGAGTCTCGCTGTGTCGCCCAGGCTGGAGTGCAGTGGCCGGATCTCAGCTCACTGCAAGCTCTGCCTCCCGGGTTTTTACGCCATTCTCCTGCCTCAGCCTCCTGAGTAGCCGGGACTACAGGCGCCCACCACCTCGCCCGGCTAGTTTTTTGTATTTTTTAGTAGAGACGGGGTTTCACCGTGTTAGCCAGGATGGTCTAGAACTCCTGACCTCGTGATCCGCCCGTCTTGGCCTCCCAAAGTGCTGGGATTACAGGCTTGAGCCACCGCGCCCGGCCTATATTTTCTTTATCCAGTTTACCATTGATAGGATTTAGGTTGATTTCATGTCTTTGCTATTGTGAATAGTTCTGCAGTGATCATGAGTGTGCATGTTTTTTCATGGCAGAATAACTTAATATTTCTTGAGGCATACACCGAATTATGAGGTTGCTGGGTCAAATGCTAATTCTGTTTTTAGTTCTCTGAGGAATCACCAAACTGCTTTTCACAACGGTTGAACTAATTTACACTCCCACCACCTTGCCAGGATCTGGTGTTTTTTTTTTTTTTTTTTTTTTTTGAGACAGAGTCTCGCTCTGTTGCCCATGCTGGAGTGCAGTGGCACAATCTTGCAATCTCGGCTCATTTGCAACCTCCACCTCCTGTTTCCCGGGTTCAAGCGATTCTCATGTCTCAGCCTCCTGAATAGCTGGGATTATAGGCATTTGCCACCATGCACGGCTAATATTTTCTATTTTTAGTAGAGATGGGGTTTTACCATGTTGACCAGGCTGGTCTCGAACTCCTGGCCTCAAGTGATCCACCCACCTCAGCCTCCCAAAGTGCTAGGATTACAGGCAAAAGCCACCGCGCCCAGCCCTGCATCTGTACTTTTTTGATGTTTTAATAATAGCCATTCTGGCTTGTGTGAGATGGTATCTCATTGTGTATTTTGTTTGCATTTCTCTAATGATTAATGATGAGTATTTTTTTATATGCTTGTTAGCCACCTGTATACTTTCTTTTGAAAGGCATCTGTTCATCATCTTTGCTTCCTTTTTAATAAGGTTGTTTGTTTTTCCTTGTAAATTTGTTTAAGTATTTTATGGATTGCGGATATTAGATGTTTGTCAGCAGCATAGTTTGCAAATACATTATTCTATTGTGTAGGTTGTTTACTCTGTTGATAGTTTCCTTTGATGTGAAGAAGCTCTTTGGTTTAGTTAGGTCTCATTTGTCAATTTTTGCTTTTGTTGCAATTGTTTTTAATATTTTCTTTCTTTTTTTTTTTTTTTTTTTTTTTTGAGACGGAGTCTTGCTCTGTAGCCCGGGCTGGAGTGCAGTGGCCGGATCTCAGCTCACTGCAAGCTCCGCCTCCCGGGTTTGCG